TGTTAACACAACCCACCCTGTAAATGCAAAGACTAAAATTCATGAGTAGAACAGGAACATCATTCTGACTCATAGGTTGAGTACTTTTAATTTTTTAAAAAAGGCTTTTGTACGCAGCCTGGTAACATGTCTCACCTTTGGCCTTGGCTAGGGCTCACCCCCTTCAACAAAGCCCCAAAGAGGAGTCACTATACTTACCTTGAAAAGGCTATTGAAATCCATAACTGACTTCCTTACCAGTGTGTTTTCGAGAGGGGAAAAGGTGTGATTCATGCAGTCCAGGGAGAGAAACAAAGAATGTCCACGTGCTTCACTTTATTCACTCAAATCACTCAATACAATTTCACTCTATAGGGTCTTAATTAAGAAAACAACAATCCTTCATGCTAGGCACTGCAATAGACATAATTAATTCAGAGAAAACAATTCTAGATTCATTCTAAGCACTGCAAACACACTTAATCATGACAGGCTAATGACAGACATTCCCTCTGTATGCTAAGTTCAAAGGTCAGATCTCAAGCCTTAGGCTTTAAGTCCAACAGATGCACATTCACTTAGACCACAGTGATCAGGTCAGGAACCAAGGCAAGTTTCTCCTGGGGTGGAGTTGATGACCAGTTGAGGACAAGGTTGTAGGGAGAAGTTGCGACCAGGGTCAAGATGTGGCTGTAGAGTTTGAGAGCGGTGAGGAAAATGCTGAGGATCAGGCAATGATGAAAAGTGTTTGGGATGTCAGTCCAGGTCCTCATCAGGCTCTCAGCATGAGGGCATCATTGTCAGGTGGCTGAATGTCTGTTCATTTGTTCTATTATTTATACCAAATTTGGGGGTTTTAACCCCCCTTTCAATCCTTATCAGCTGCCAGTGGATCTCTCAGTGACATCATTTAGCCTGGGGTTAAAACATCTGGTCTGGTGGTCCCCACCCTGATCTTTTTGCCTTTAACTCTTATCAGGCCAGGACCACCAAAAGTTTATCAGGGTGGAGAGAAGTGACTTGTTTGTGCCTGAGGGCCATACTGGAGGGCTCCTCTAGGCATGCCTGGTGAGATTAAAAGTTTCAAACTTGAGTTTTTAAAATGAAGTTGCTTAGGCTCAGGCCTAAGGCCATCCTCACATGTGTTCAAGGTGGGACAGTGCGTGGGTATGTGCCCCTTTTTAATAGTGGAAGAACTTTGGTACACGTGTACTCTAGCCAATCTCCAGCAAGAGGACTTGCTGCTGATGTTAATTTTGAGGCTGTTCAGTTTGGCTTCTCTCTATCTATTAACTGCCCATTTTGAGCAAAATGAAAGTGCTTTTATAAAGCTTGGAGGGAAAAAAGCTCTTGTATAGTAATCTTTTTTCTATTTTAACATTGTGGTCATTTGTAATTTGATATCAATATTTTCTTAACCTTCCTAACTGTTTCATTATTACCCCATGAAAGCTTTTCTTAATGTCACATTGAGTACATTTTAATTGCCTTCTATTTTTGAAACCCAACGTAATTAGTTGGGATCTATTGTTCTTGCTACTGTATGGCATGTAATCTGCCTGGATTTATTTCAACTCTTGACCAAAGTTTCATAAGAAACAGTACAAGATTTGGGGCAGAGAGTGGGAAGGGAGGATATTTTATGGAGAGCTACTTTCTAAAGACTTATCTGTAAGCTTGAACTAAGGAGTATAGCTTTAACTATCTGGACTCTAACAGTTTTGCTTTAAAACTGTTGAAGTGTTTCTTAGCAATGAAAAAGAAGATCTTGCTAAAATTAAAATAAGGAACATTTGACTTTTAAAAAATTCATTTCTTATGTGGACCTATTCTAAAAAAACTGTGGCGATGCTTCTTGAGACAGCAGGTGGTTAAGTAGCCTTCTGATGTAATACTTCAAAATAAGATGTCAAGTCAAATAGTGTGAAGCCCTTAACTGGATTTGTGATTTTGAACTATGATCCTCTCTGAGAATAAATGATTTATTTGCATATCTCTTTTTCAAACACTGAAGATTCTAGAGCAATCTTTAATGGGCACATGAATTGCCTGAGGATGGTGTCAAAATGCAGCTGTGATCCAGGAGGGCTAGGCTGGGGTCCAAGATCCTGTATTTGGTTGGGTGATACTGGTGCTCAGGTGTGCAGTGGATTACGTGTTGACAGTCAGATCTATGCCTTGCTGTTGCTTTGTAAGACACCTTCATTTTAAACCCCTCTGGTATTCCACTTCTATCCACACGGGCACAATCATTTGTACTGTGATCCCTACCAAATAAGAAAGCATGTCTATAAAGTGTCACGTAGTTGTGCTAGAAAGCATGTAGGTCATGAGCAGCAGCTGGGCAGGAAGAAGAAGGTGGTATCAAGGGGGAAATATATGCTGATGGAGAAGCAGAGACATAGGACAAAGAGCCCTGGCACCCTTGATGTCTCCCTGATAAGCCCTGCCTGACTTACCCCTCACCAGATGGTCAGCATTGATCAAGGACTTTGCTCTTATTAGTTCTTGGCTCCCATTGGCGTGTGAGGGGAGAACAAGATGCCATCTTCTGCTTTTCAGATCAGAGACAGTCAAACTCATTCCCATGGGATTGTTATTATTTTTCAGTGCTGGGGATGAAATCCAGGACCTCGCGCATGCGAAGCAAGTGTTCTGCCACTGACTACACTCCCAGCACCCATCTTTTGTTCTCAGAGGTTTGCTTTGTTTCCAACATAAAAGACATCCCATTATTTGTGTGCCTGTAAATATATTCTGGGTTCTTTTCAACAGGAAGAACAAATCCTTCTTTTGAGTTAACCAGAGCTTTTAGGCTTTGGGGAGAAACAACACAAGATGGTGCATGATTATGTTCTCAGATGCAGAGGTGAAGGCATCCCTGATGACAGTGTCTCTGCTGTTTTCTGGGACAATGGCAATTCAGGGAGGAACAAGCATGGTTCTTTGCTGGGCTCATCAGATGGGCACATTTGGGCCCAGTGTGTCCAGCACAGGGCTAGGGAGCCTCTAACAGTCTGAGGAACTGTGATGCTCAGTTTTCCTTGTTGAGGATCTCACACTCTGGAGGGCCCAGATTCTTAAAGACCTTTTACTCATGTAGCCACACAAAAGTCTCTCTCTACTCATCACATGATGGAAGTCAATTGGTTCCAAGGTGAAGTGGTCATAGAGAATGAACTTTATTGTAGTCAGCCAGCTAATCAGAGTATCCTCATCCTAAAAAGTCATCTGTACCGGGAAGCTGACTGAGGAGTGGTTTATGTAGAGATGGGTGATTGCAGGGTAGTTGCTTTCTCTCGGTAGAGGTTTGTGACCAAGTGACACACATTGGATCTGAATCTCCTAGTCACTACTCGTTTCCAGTTCTGAAATCTCAAGAACAGAGATCATCATTTCCTCAGTCTATTATTGTCAGTGATTAGCTTGTCTAAGCGCAGCTCCTGACACGATACACACTGGACAGGTTAAAGGGGTAGCTGCCCCAAGGCCCTCTTGCTGGTCAACAAACTCATGGTAATGAAAGAAAACATTTTACCTGATTATTGTGAAACACAAGGGCCATGTGAAGTTAGGTAGGAACCTGGAGTCAGTGCTTGGCTTTACCCAGGATGTTAAGAGCACCCTGACTTGTCGAGCACTTGCTTAGTATGCAGGAGATTCTGGGTTCAATCCCCAATACTGAAAAAAAAATCCCTCTTTCATTTCCCTAGCACAAGAAATATAAATATATTATTGGGACACAGGAATTTTCTATTAGGTCTGTGCTAGAAACCCTAGACTCAGGCCATAAACTGAGGTATACCTCTGGAATTCGGGTTACTTTGATCTGGCCCTGTTTTCAGTTACATGAGGCTGATGTCAGACAGCCTGGGGAAGGGATTAGAAAGGGCTGCAGGTGGTAAATGGAGAAGATAATGCTAAGTGAAGTTAGCCAATCCCCCCAAAACAAATACCAAATGTTTTCTCTGATATAAGGAGGCTGACTCATAGTAGGGTAGGGAGGGGGAGCATGGGAGGAATAGAAGAACTCTAGATAGGGCAGAGCGGTGGGAGGGGAAGGGAGGGGGCAGGGGGTTAGCAAGGATGGTGGAATGTGATAGACATCATTATCCAAAGTACATGTATGAAGACAGGAATTGGTGTGAACATACTTTATATACAAACAGATATGAAAAATTGTGCTGTATATGTGTAATGCGTTCTGCTGCCTTTATTTTTTAAAAAAATCAATAAAAAATAAAAGAAAAAGAAAAAAAGAGAAAGGGCTGCAGGGGAGGCAGACAAGAGGAGGAAATGGGATGGAGGCTGGATGGGCCGACTCAGAGAGTAGAGGGGTCCCTTGACCCCATCTAGCCAGTTAAGCCCAAAGGGTGAGGAATCAGGATTTTGAATAATCCTGAAAAGCAGAAGGAGGCTGTGGAGCAGCTCTCCAGGTAGCTGTATAAAACCACCACATCTACATTCTATTTGTCTCAGGTGATCCTGGAGAATTTGTATGACAATAATTCTCCAACTTGACTACACATTAGAATTCCCCGGGAATGATCCCTGGGATTGAAAAAAGCCCCTGTGCCTAGGCCAGACCTCAGACTCTAGACTCTCTGGGGGTGGGCTTCCAGCAGTTTTAAAGCTCTCCAGGTGGTCCAATGTGCAGCCTCTGGTGCAAGGGAATTCAAGGATATTTTTAACATGAAAAGGGAACAGCATCCACTCTGGTTTTGTTTGCTTGTGTTGTGTTCAGATCTGGAATGTCCTCTCCAAAAGCTTGTCTGTTGAAAGCATGGTCCCCAGTGCAGCACGGTTCAGAGGTGGGGCTTTTAGGCAATGATTGGATCATGAAGGCTCGGACATTATCGGTGGATTAATCCACTGATAGCTGAATGGACTACTAGGAGGCAGGACCTAGTGGAGGAAGGACCCTACTGGGGGCGTGTCCTGGAAGGGCTTATCTTCTCCCTCTCCTCTTTTTTCCCTCTCTCTCTTCCTCTCCCCTTTTCCCCCCCCTTTCCCTCTCTTCTAGCCAGCTGCCATGAACTGAAGAGTTTTTCTCTGCCATGCCCTTGCACCATGGTGCTACTGCCTTGGCACCAGCTGACCAGGGACTGAAACCTCTGAAACCATGAGCCAAGGTAAACATTTCCGTCTCTAAAAGGTTCTTGTCAGGTATTTTGGTCACAGTGATGTAAATCTGACTAATATAGCTTGTTTTTGCAGTAGTGGGGATTGAGCCCGGGGATTTGGGCATGCTAACAAGCACTCTATCACTCTACCACATGCCCAGCCCTTTTAAAAGTTTTATTTTGAAGTAGGGTCTCCATAAGGTGTCCAGGGTCACCTTGAATTTGTAATCCTCCTGCCTCAGCCTCCTGAGTAGCTTGGATTACGGACAAGCACCACTGTGCCCGGCTCAGCTAACTGTCTTTTGATAGAGGAGTCTCCAGGGCTCCTGCAGACTAGTCCCCCCATTCTTCATAGAATCTAGACCTCCTGCTTTCCCACCCGCCCTCAATCCCAGCCCTAAAAGACCTGAGTCCTGGGGGTGTCTTTTTCTGTTTTTATGGTACTGGGGATTGAATCCAGGTGTGCTTTCCCATTGAGTTACACTCCTAGCCCTTACTTACTTACTTTATTTACTTATCTATTTATTTATACTTTGAGATACGGTCTTGCTAAGTTGCTTAAGGCCTTGCTAAATTGCTGAGGCTGGTCTCAAACTTGTGATCCTCCTGCCTCAGCCTCCTGAGTTGCTGGCATTACAGTCATGTGGTGCCTGGCTGATTGTTGTTGTTGTTTTTAATTCTTGGCATTTTGACAGAGAACACTGTCTGCGTTTAAAATGGATTTGAAACTGTCCACTTTGGTTTCAATCACTGAGAACAGATTAAGTCCTTTCCAGGGACCAATAGCAGGAAACACTTTAAAAAGGAGCAGTAAAAAAGGATCAAGCTGGGTACTGGGGTTATGGCTCAGAGGTAAAGCGCTTACCTAGCACACGAGAGGCACTGGGTTCAATCCTCAGCACCACATGAAAATAAAATAAAGATACTGTGTCCACCTATAACTAAAAAATAAATATTACAGAAGGATCAGACTAAAGAAAATTGAATCTAAAGAGTTAAAATAAGGTGGTACTGGCACATGTGAGGATAGATAGTTAATGGGTAAGCATGAACACTCCACAAATAGACCGGAAATATGGGGATTTAGTGTGAGATAATGTGATTTCCAATCAGTAGGAGAAACATGGACTATATTATAAGTGATGTTGGGACAACGAGGTAGCCATTCAGGAAAAATGAAGTTGGACCATGCTGTGGTTTAAATGTGCACCTCCAAAATTCAGGTGTTAGCAATATGATAGTAACATTAAGCCATTAAGAGGTAAGTAGGCCATCAGGGATCCTCCCTCGTGAATGGGATTAAAGCCAGCAGAAAAGAGGCTTCACGCAAGGACCACCACTGTGGTGCCATCTTGGAAGCAGAGAGCAACTCTTACCAGATAACTGAACCTGCCTGTGCCTGAGTCTTAGACTTCCTAACCCCTGGGACTATGAGGAATAAGTCTGTGTTCTTTATAAATGACAGTCTGGACTGGGGGATGTATCTCAGTGGTAGAGCACATGCTTAGCAAGTGTGAGGGTGTTTAGTATATGTGAAGTCCTGGGTTCAATTCCCAGCAGAAAACCCAAAACATAAATTACCTGGCCTGAGTTATTCTGTTTTAGGTGCGCAGATTTACACAGATTAGTACCTCACACTATAACTAGGACAAATTCTAGCTAGATGAAAAATTTTAGTATAAGAAATGAACCCCCCAAAATAGTTTTTCAGTATGTAGAAAATGATTTTAACATTTTAAAAACCAAGTAAAATCCAGATAAAATAACAAAACTCCTATTAGAGAAGGCTATGCTATTGAACATATAAAAAATTCCAGCAAATATTAAGTAAATAGAAAAAAATGGGCAAAGAATATGAACAGATTCCAGAGAAGAAATGCCAAAGACTCATAAATATAGTAAAAGATGTTCATCCTCATTCATAATATGAAAAATGAAATTAAAACTAAACTAGGGGCTGGAGCTGCAGCTCAGAGGTAGAGTGCTTGCCTAAAATGTGCAAGACCCTAGGTTGGATCCCCAGAATGGCAAAAACAAACAGCAAACAAAACTAAAGTAAGATAACACTTTTTACCAACATCATATTGGTAAAAAAAAAAATTAAAAATTCATTCTACATTTAGGCTATGGGAAAATAAACACATATTGCTGGTAAGAATGAAATGTATGAAGAATAATTTATCATTATCTTTCAAAATGATGAAAACCTTAGATATATAATAAAATACTATTCCTCAATCAAAAGTAGTGTAGTACTAATTAGTTATACATGACAGTAGAATGCATTTTGATACATCATATATAATGGAGTTTAATTTCTCATTCTTCTGGTTGTGTATGACTTAGAATAACACCAGTCATATAGTTATATATATACATAGGGTAATAATGTCTGATTCATTCCTATCCTTCTTACCCCCATCCCCCCTCCCCTCCCATCTACCTAATCTAAAGTAACTCTATTCTAGCTCCCCTGCCATTGTGCATTAGCATCTGCATATCAGAGAAAGCATTCAGATTTTGGTTTTTTAAGATTGGGCTTTGTCAGACACTGAAAAAAAAAAAAGAAGCTACTTTGGGAAATTTGATAGCAAATTAATAAGTGATATGTATAACTAAAAATAGCATCAATAAATTTATTATACATTTTTCATGGTTTCAGAGATCTCAGACCATGGACAGGCTGGGTCCATTGCTCTGGGCCCACAGTGAGGCAGAACACCATGGTGGAAGGGCAGCAAAAAAAAAAAGAAAGAAAGTAGTGAAGTACTGACATGTGCTAGCATGTGGATGAGACTTATGAGTACTATAATAAGTGCAAGAGGCCAGTCACAAAAGACCTCCTGTTGTATGAGTCGAAGTAGGATATCCAGGACTGGGGACGTAGCTCCAAAATAGAGCACTTGCCTATCATGCTCTTGGTTCAACCCCAGAACTATAAATAAATAATAAAGGAATGTCCAGAGTGAGCAAATCTATAGGGATGGAAATCAGATTAGTGGTTGCTAAGTCTGTAAGATTGAGGGAGAATGAAGAATGACTGGTAATGGGCAGAGGGTTTCTTCTGGGCTGATGCATGCTTTGGTTTTAGATAGTGGAAATAGTTACACACATTACTGAACATACAATGAGAGACTGAATGTATAAAAGGACAATGGCAAAACCACATGTGAGACTAGACCCACAATTTGAAGCAACCAGCCTAGGACACAGCCCATCATTTAAGCAACAGAGCCAGCCTGCTCTGTATAAGCTGGACTCGTAAGAAGTCAGACCATCCCTCTCTATTACCCAGTAGGTTCTTTTCCTGCTTGATACTGCTCTCCATGACCAAACAGTTCTGAGAGCAGGCAGGGAACTTATCCCGTGGAGAAGGGGAACTTGTGTTCTGAAGGCGTCTTCCTGAACAGGACTGGGTTTGGAATTTCAACGAGGACTGGGTTATGAGGGCTTGTGGCATGCATGCTATCATCAGGGTACTTCATGGAGAAAGGAGATTCCCAGGAGTCAGGGTGCCACCTCTTTTCTTTGCTAATTTGGGCATAATCAAGTCAATACTACAGTTTTGGTAGATGTGTTTGTAGCATTATAAAGAGTCCAAGATCATCTGTAATGTCAACATAGCCCCCAAACCAGATCAAGCCAGTCTGGAGTTCCTTTAGGCAGGTGATAACTCAGTGCTGACAGTTGGAAGCATGTAGTTATCAGCATTCCTCCTCAACCGTCCCAAGCAAGCACCACCTGTAAGCAAACAGAGCTGACAGGATAACAGGCTGTCAGTAAAACAGGTTCAGACCAGTGACATCTCTAGTAACAGGTCTGGGAAGAAAATAATAACCCCTCTCACAACTGGTCCTAAACAGCTGGGAATAGATTAGTAACTGATAGCTGCCCTAATGTTCCCAGCTGCTTCCAATTCAGGACCAATAAGAGAAAGGTGAACATGCCCTCCTACCCAATCGATAGGACATCTCTTTTCTGGTTAGACCCCTGTTATGGTTTGGATATGAAGTGTTCCCCAGAAGCTCCTGAGTTAATACAGGAATGTTTGGAGGTGAAGTGATTGGATTGTAACCTAATCAGTCCATCCTAATTTGAATGGACTAACTGGGCAGGTGGGGCATGGCTGGAGCCATGGTCACTGGTTGTGAGCCCTGGATGGGTGCGTCTTTCCTGCGGTCCCTTCCCCTTTCTCTCTCTGCTTCCTGCCTGCCATGAGTGAAGCAGTGCTCCTCCATGTTGCCCTTCCACCATGGTGTTCTGCCTCACTGTGGGCCCAGAGCAATGGACCCAGCCTGTCCATGGTCTGAGATCTCTGAAACCATGAGCTCCAAATAACATTTTTCTCCTCTAAGTTCTTATGTTACATTACATTGTGGTGTAACTTAAGAATATTAAGTTGAAGAATATTGGTAGAAGGTTACTCAAGACTGTCCCTGGAGGAGGTCCCGAGAGATCCTGGAGAGGGGAACTCAAATCAGGACTAGTGGGGTTCTTGATGAGCATCACATAAGTGAATTTAAGGGCATGTCAATTAGAGCACAGACAGATTTATTGAGGAAAGCAGAGACACATTCAAGGGAGAATGTGGGAGAAGTAGCAACCCCGTGGTCTGGCTGTTAATGTTTACAGAGAGCCAGTAGCTAGAGTCAGGTGGACTCACCTAATCTTGGCCTGTCCTCCCTGCCCTTGGCATTGCCCCCCATCTCTTTGTGTTTTGCAGACAAGGATCCCTCACTTTGCTTGTTTTGCATTCCCATGGTCCATGGGCACCTTCCACATTTCAGTGGTTCATGGCTGTTTTTCTTTGGAGTTCAAAGTCAGCCTCAGCAACTTCATGAGATCCTGTCTCAAAATAAAAAATAGAAGGGCCTGGGGTGTGGCTTAGTGGCTAAGCATCCCTGGTTCAATTCCCAGTACCAGAAAGAAAAAAAAAAATCCTGGCCTTGTGGCTTAAACTGGGACCTACATACAATAGGGCTGAAGGACTTTGGTGCTTGGGCTGCTTT